TGGCAACTGGTTTGGTTTGGTTTTGGTAATCATATAAGATTTTTATTTTAAAATAAAAATTTGCAATTCTAACAAGTTCCCGGGCGATGTTAACGCTGCTGGTTAGGTATCAATTCTGAGACCACCATGGAGCAGTGGTTCTCAAAATTTATTATACATAAGAATCACCTGGGGTTCTTGTTAAAATGTAGATGCTCATTCAGTATATTCGGGATACAAATGCAAATTCTCAGCAGGGGTTGGAATCGGAACGAATTAGCTCAAAGCCCTAGAATAAAGACATTTTCAGACATGCAAGTTCTCAAAGAATCTCTCTCTCATGCACCCTTTCTCAAAAACCTACTGCAGAATATGTCCACCAAAATGAGAACAAAAACCAAAGAGGAAGAAGACATGGGATCCACTACAAATGAAAGGTGAAGAGAATTCTTGCAACGGTAGTGAAAGGAAGATCCCAGAATGATTGCTGTGAAGTTAGAGTAGAAAGTAGCCAGTTCAGAGTAGAACTGCTATGGCACAGGGCATCAAGAAAGGCTAAGAGACAGCCCAGAAGAACTAGATGGTGCCTAGCTACCACCACCCACCACTTTGACAGGGAACACAACAGAGGGTCCCAGACAGAGCGGGAGAAAAATGTAGAATAAAATTCAAATTCAGAAAAAAAGACCTGACTCAATGGTCTGACAGAGACTAGAGGAACCCCCAAGAGTAAGGCCCCCAGACATCCTGCTAACTCAGGGCTGGGGCCACTCCCGAAATCCACCTTTCAGCCAAAGATTACACAGGCCTATAGAACAAACAATGGCATACTTGAGGAACGTGCTTCTTCAATCAAGTAGACCAAATAGGCAACACATACCCAGAAGCAGGGACAACAAGGCAGGAAGGGCCAGGAAAAGCTGGACAAATGGACACAGAGAATCTGGGGTGGAAAGGGGGAAAGTGCTGGCATATTGCGAGGATTGCAACCAATGTCACAGAACAATATGTGTATAAATTTTTGAACGAGAAATAAATTTACGCTGTTAAAAAAAAAAAGAAAGAAAGAAAGGCTAAGAAAAGGCAACTGATTGATAGATTACCTAGTTGTGTATTTCATTTACCAAAAATGAATTTTATGGCTCTGTTGAGGATGAATGGGTGAACTGATTATAAACTAAATAAACCACAAAAAAGGCCAATTATTACCCTAGGAAGGAAAACGTACAAGAGAGGAAATTTAACCATAATACACTAAAGTAGGTCACCTGTGAATACTTGAATAGTCAAAATAATGTAAATGATGAAGATTAACCAAATATTGTGATAAAATTATACTGGGAAAATGGGTAGGGGAAAGTTTTTGAGGATTATAGTATTGGCAGTTGGGGTGAGGACAGCTAAACCCTCACCCTCTTTGGTAGAAAGTAAATAGATAAAGTCTAAAATTAAAAATAAAATTAAATTAAATGGTATATGAGCATATAATCTACTAGAAGAAACAGCTGAAGTAGGTGATAGCGGTTGCCTCTGTTAAGCAGCAATCAAATAAATTGCCATCGAATCAATTCCAATTCATTGCGACCCTATGAGGGGCAAAGGACTGCTTTTTCATTTTACGTCCTATAGTTCCAGTTTACTTTTCAAGTTATGACAGTTACTCCTTTAATAATTTACTTTTACTAAGAAAAGAGTCAAGTGACTAGGATCTTGATGACAAGGAATATCTGACTTTGAGATTGTGAAGTGGAAAAAAGTGCCACAGTATGGTGATAAGAGCATGTGGATGATGTGAAGTAGACCTAACAGTTATCCTCATTGATCTCTAAACTCTTTTACGCTGTAGCTTGAGAACCATAGCTTTATTTTTCCCTTTCTGACCTATAAATAGACTTTTAAAACTATTCTTAAGGAAGATGCTATTGTCTTCTTCTTGTTTCTACTCTTGAAGATATAAAGATGCATAAGGCGCAAGGTCCCTGTCCTTGAAGCGATGCCTGATAGAAGGGAAGAAGATGACACAGAAGATGCTCCTAAGCCAAAATGATTTAGAAGAATTCATTCACATGGGCACATTCAAGAACAGCAGTGGATTTGGAATAGGTTTCCAGCGACTGCCAAAACACATGGATGATAACAATAAGCCATCAGAAAAAACTTCCATGACAACAGAAACAGTGATCCTAGATCACCTGTCCAGAGAGGGAGCCAAGCCCATTCCCCACAGAGATGGCATATGCTAAGGGTTAGAATCCCTTTCAGGCTTAGAAAACTAACCTTGGCTGTCCTCGGTAACATTATTCACTCTCCCATTAGGCAAAAATGTGCCTATATAACTGCCAAGCATGCCCATCACCCCTTCCTGTGCCAAAGTTAGATACAGAGCTGGTGGTGCTGCTTCCCTGTAGGAAACTGAAGATGCATCCAATGGAAAAAATGTGCCCACATAAGAATTTGGAATGTGCCAGCTGCCATACTCTAGAACAGACCCATGAAGTTTAGAAGTGCGCCATTCACAACTTCAATGAAAGAAAAATAGAAAACTGAAATCTAGCAAGCTTAAATTTTCTGAATGTTTTTCTCATCTTTATGCAAAAAAAAAAACCTCCTTTTGTCAAGGAAAAAACTTCCTATATACCCTATTTTATAACTGGAATAATCCAAAGAATTCTTCCAAAGGTAAATTTTCATATTTCAGTCATGGAAAGACTAGAGGACCTCAGTGGGCCAAGGGTAAAAAAATTTCCCAGAAAAATATATAGACTATCTATTTAAATACAAACTAACAGAATAATGTAGCTGCTTCTTACATAGTCCTTACTGCCCATTTGTTCTTTATGAACTTAATTGTGCTAGTCCTTCCTGAGGAAGAGAGTTCTAATTTCAGTTCCATTCATTCATCACCTGATAGTTATGTCACAATATATAATCACTTTAATCTGCTGAGTTTTTCCAGATAAGACTTTTACAATAGTGCTAGTACTAATAAGTCATTACAAATTACAACCCTTGGAGCCCTGGTGGCACAACGATTAAGTGCTCACTGCTAACCAAAAGGTTGGCAGTTCGAACCCACCCAGCAGGAGAAAGGCCTGATGATCTGCTCCCGTAAAGATTACAGCCAAGAAAACCCTGTGGGAAAGTTTTACTCTGCACATGGGGTCACTACAAGTCAGAATCAACTCTACCCTTGGCTATACCATTGCTCTGGCTTGGAAAATAACATTCAAAAGGCAAAAAGAAAGAATGACTTCCCAAGATACAATCTAACAACAATACAAGATGATGTACATTTTACTCAAAGAGACTAGAATGTCCTATTCATGCTGCTAATTTACTTCTCTTGGAAACTGTGAAAGTATCCCTAATGTATTTTTTAGTACCTCAAACAAAAAAGGACTCACTGACTGGCTAGTGTGGATTCAGCACTATGTTAAATAATGTAGAAAATGTTTTTAAAAAACTCTGAGCTTACAGTCTCACTGATGAGGCCATTCATTGGGTCATTCAACAAACTGTCAGTATGTGCCAAGCACAGTGGTAGTTACTAAAAAGACAAATACAAAGCTACCTATTGGGATGTCACAATCTACTGACAGACCTAGAAACAGACCCAGTTAGTAAGAGAAGGCAGCAATGATTTTAAAGACATGACAAAGTGCTGTGGGAGCCCCAGGACCAGCACACAAGTGACAACTGGGTTGAATTCTGTGGGACCCATAACAAGGCCCTGAAGAGTTCACCACCTCACAAGCATAACTGATTCCCACAGAGAGAAGTACATTTTCCTCCCCTGCAGGAACTGAGGCCATGGCTAAATGCCCATCTGTCAGAGACGCTATAGATGGGGATCCCCCGAGTCAGAGGTTGGATTAAGTGTCCTTTAAAGTCCCTTCCAACTCTAAAACTGTATAATTCCATGAGATCAACAGAGGCTAAAACAGTAATAGGAAGCTTCAAAGAAGGGAAACTTGTACTAAGCCCAAAAACATTAGCAAGGATCTAAATAAGCAGAAGGGAGAGTGTAAAATACTTCATTTTGTTCCTTGTTGCTAAATGTATGCCAGGTCAGTCTGCAAAACAGCTTTACAGGGTGAATAACTCAAACAAGCAGCAAGAATTCTACAGCTACCAGAATACTGGAAAATATATTAAGAATTCTAGCTTTTACGAGAAAATAATAGGTAGGAGGCTTTCCTGAGTCACATATTTAAGAAAATCATTTTCATGACCTATACTATTTAAAATACTGACAGTTCTACTGCATTGTACTCCCAATAATCACACAATTACATTTAACAAAATATAGAGCATGCCAAAAGAAAGATCATTGTTATTTAATAAGGAACTTAAATAGGCCCTGAAATTGTAATCTGGCTACGTTTCCTATGAGCTTTAAAATAAACATAACACTGTGATTTTCCATTTAAAGTAATTCTCTTCTCTTTTCTCACCCCCACTCCAACTGTCCCAACACCTGTGCTCACACTTCTTACTCAGGCATCTTCACTTTACAATACCACAACAGAAACAGTAGCCTGAAACAGGATAGGTTGGTAGCCTTTAAGAACTGACATGTCTTTTAAAGGTTCCCCAATATTCACAGGAACACATCATTTTCTGACAACATGTCAGGTCCAGCAAGCCACTAAACTCAAAGCTAACTCTGCACTGATATTCCAGCACCTCAACATATTAAAACAAAGGCTAGGATTCTCACTGACTGTTCTCAGCACATCAAAATGGTGTTATTCAAGCTGGAAAAAAATGCTGATGGGTGCTGGTCATACAGAAGTGATAGAAATTTAGCTAAACATTCACAAGTGAGCGTGCTGGGGAAGAACTGGAGGAATGTACTAGCAAGCTGACAGTAGCAGAGCCAAAATGACAATACAGGACCCCTCCAATTTCCATAAGCTTGGAAATAAGAGGCAACGCAATGAATTTGTGTTAAACAGAAATGCTACTGTTTTAGTTCCATTCTCAGAATCAGTGGTTCAGAAACTACTGGTCCAACTTACCCCTTTTTCTGAGAGGTTCAGAGTAAGCAAGTGTAAGGTTCTGGTATGGGATGACTTCCAGTCCACAGGCATTACATTTCCATAATTATCTGTCAGGGCATTCCAAATCCTCAAAAAGAAGAAAACCACCATCAACGAAAGTTAACATTCCATATGTCTTTTATTAAACAAATATCTATTACTACAGTGGAAGAGGAGTCTCTGGGTGGCACAAAAGGTTAACACGTTCGTCAGCTAACCAAAAGGCTGGAGATTTGAATCCACTCTGAGGCTCCTCAGAAGAAAGGCCTGGTAATCTACTTTGGAGAAAATCAGCCACTGAAAGAAAGCCCTGTGGAGCACAGTCCTACTCTGACACACATGGGGTCATCACGAGTAGGAGCTGACGCAACAGCAACTAGTTTCACAGTGGAAGAAGAAAGAACACCGAATATGAAAGAAGAAAAACAGAAGGCACATGGTTTCTCAGAAAAACATCAACAAAGTAGAGCATACTAAACAAAACTAAATCAAAACCATATAATTGAGCTGAAGTCCTCAAGGAAGGTAGTGTAGAAAACTCCCAAAGTCAGTATGTGCCCAGCTCCTAGATGTTTACAAAGTATTACTACTGACGATAATAGCTAACACTTCAACTGTACTATGTGCCAGACACTGTTCTAAGCAATTTACATATATTAATTCACTTAATCTTTAAAAACAACACTATGCAGTAGGATCTATTATTACCTCTGTTTTATGGATGAGGCAATCAAGGCACAGAGGTTAAGTAATGTTTCCAGGCCATACAGGTAGCAACCACACCGTACTTTACACTTTTTTTTCCTAAAACTTCCAAACATATTAAAAAAACCATCAAGTCGATTCAGACTCATAGCAACCCTATAGGACAGAGAAGAACTGCCACAGGGTTTCCAAGGCTGTAATCTTTACAGAAGCCAACTGCCACATCTTTCTCCCACTGAGTGCTTGGTGGGTGCAAACCACTAAGCTTTCAGTTAGCAGCCAAATGCTTAACTACTGCGCCACCAGGGCTCCTTCCAAACATATAGTGTCTCATAAAAGTCAATAATCTCTCTCTAACCAAAGATTTGTTATACTTTCATGGAGAGAAGTATCTCTATTCAGGTTCAACGTGAGTGGAGACAGGGATTTTAAATCTAATTTGAAATATAATAAACTAACAACTAAGACAGAGAGGAAATGAAAGGAGAAAGAGGCAGAGTTTGCAATGAAATGAGCACAGGCAATACCCTCTGCAACTAACCTACCTTATTATCAAATAGCATTCTGAGGAGGCAATAAGGTAAAATGAAAACGGCACTTGATTGAGATTCAGGAAACAAAGACTCTTGTCTCTATTCTTCCGCAAACAAATAATCTTCGGACAAGTCCCTTAACCTTTCTAGGTATCAGCCACCCTTCTATAAAACAAGAGGCTTGGACAAAAATAGCAGACATTCCCTCAAGCTCTATTATTCTAAGTATTAATTCAAACGAGTTACACTGAGTAAAGTCTCAAACACACCAGATGTGGACAGCAAACTCCAATTTCATAACTGAAATTCAGGTTTCAGTTGTAAAGTAATAATCAGCATAATAAAACATGAAGTTGTATAAAAAAACAGAGATCAGAGATAAAAAAGAGACGAATTTAACTGGGCAAGAAAAATTAAACACTACACATAAAAGCTACTTAAAGCCTGTTGTTGTTAGGTGCCGTCGAGTAGGTTCCAACTCATGGTAACCCTAAGTACAACAGAACAAAACACTGCCTGGTCCTGCACCAGCCTCACGATCACTGTTATGCTTGAGCTCATCATCACAGCCACTGTGTCAACCCAGCTCGTTAAGGGTCTTCCTCTTTTTCGCTGACCCCCTACACTACCAAGCATGATGCCCTCCTCCAGAGACTGGTACCTTCTGATTACATGTCCAAAGACTGTGAGACAAAGTCTTGCCATCCTCACTTCTAAGGAGCTTTCTGGCTATACTTCTTCCAAGACAGATTTGTCTCCTCTTTTGGCAGTCCATGGTATACTCAATATTCTTTGCCAACACCATAATTTAACAGCTAGAGGTATACAAACAGATGTCATAAGGAAAAAAAAAAAAAAACTGAAAATTATAGTAGGTATCCAATTGTGCATAGTCCCTGGGCAACACAAATGATTAAGTGCTAGACTACTAACTGAAAGGCTGGCTGTTCAAACCCACCCAGAGGTGCCTCAGAAGACAGGCCTGGCAATCTGCTTTAAAAGGTCTCAGCCATGAAAACCCTATGGAGCACAGTTCTACTCTGTACACACGGGGTCACTATGAGTCGGAATCAACCTGACAGCAACTAATATCAACAATTGTGAATAAGCAATTCAATAATTGGTTGGGTTTTTTCCAAGTATGTAAGCGACTGGGATACAAATACAATACCACAGGCACATAAAAATAAGAATGCAAGATTTAAAAACAGTGAGGCAACACACTTGATTTAATGAATAGGGATGTAGTGGTAAAGAGAAGAAGCAATGGGACCACAACTGTCAAATCATAAAATCCCAAAATGATGTTTGCCTTTGGAATGCACGTTCAGCCTCACTAAAAACGTCAACTCAAGAAGCTCTAGAAAACTGGCTCACTGACCCAGCAAATCCTCATTTGCACGGTTCATTTCTATTCTCCTCTCTGTTGGAATCAGATCTCCTCAACATGCCAGAATAAGAGGCGAGGCCTCTGGATTGCTAACTTTGCTGGGTTTCTGGCCCACACCTACCTGGCTGAAAGATTTTCACATACTGAAAAACTGACTGCATATCTAACCTGGTCAGGAAAGTCAGTAGGATAGTCTAGCAGGTGAAAACAGTCCATAGTTTCTGGGTTTTGTTTTGTCTGCTTGCCTGCTTCTTCTTAAATGAGACTATAAGAAAACGACAAGTGGAATGGAATACTTCACCTAGAAGGGATTGTGGGTGAATCTGATCTTCTAAGAAAATAAAGGACAATTAATAGTCCTCTAATCCACCAGCCATTCCTTGGAAACCCTATGGGGCAGTTATATTCTGTCCTATATGGTCGCTATGAGTCTGAATAGACTCAGTGGCAATGGGTTTTGGTTTTTATCTCCACCAAGGCCAAAACAAGTGCAACTGGAAGGACACAGGGCCAACTTAACAGAAAATTTTTAGAATTCTCCAATCAAGACATATGAACTGCCTTCATGCTTATCATGTACGTATTACAACCAATCATAAACAATAGCTCTAGGGAGGTCAAAGTCTGACTACAATAAATTCTGCAGACACCCTTCTAAAGTCCAGTCTCAGTAGATAAGTACATTCCTTATCTAACCAAAACTAAAACTGGGACTCAGAACAGTTAAATAAAGTGCCCTGTTCTTGTTGTTAGGTGCCATCCAGTGGATTTTGACTCATATTGAGCCCATAGAGCTTTCTTGGCTGTAATCTTTATGGAAGCAGATAGCCAAGTATTACTCCTGTGGAGCCGCTAGGTCGACCTTTCAGTTAGCAGCCCAGTGCTTAACCATTGACTCAGAGGGGCTCCTTAAAGTGCCCTAGGGCAAGGCAATATCTGAGAAAAAGAATTCTAACTCTCTAGTGAAGGGAGCGGGAGTGGGCTCTATCAAACAGATTAATGCACTGGAAAGGGGATAATGACCAAGGGGACAATGACCCTTGTGACCAGCCCCAGGCCTGAACAGAGAAAAAGAAATTTCTTATGTATCAAACCAAGGGGCATGCATTACCACGAACATACCTACTAAAAACTATTTTCGAACATAACAAAATATTTTAAGTTTCACATCAATCTATGATTTAAACAAAGGCTTAAAATAGACTGCTTTCCAGACAGTACTTATGAAGCAAAAACAGGAACCCTTAATTGTCTATATACAAACCACTGATCTATTTTGAGTATGTAACTCTTGATACGTAATAAATATAATTTTAAAATCCAGAATATGTCATGAGTTCTAGTGTTTTAGAGTAGGTACATCTACATATATATATAGCTATTTTCTCTTTGGGACCAGATTTCAAAATTGTCATCTTTGTTGCTGACTGCACGCATATTTGTGTGTATAAAATCCAGTCATAAACTTTTGCCTCCTCTGCACCTGGGCAGAACACTGTAAAGAGGTATCAATAAAAAGATATGGTTTTAGCAAAACGGTAAGAGAATAAAAAGATCAGTGGTTGCCAGGGGCTCATGGGGAAGGGAGGAGAGATGAATAGGTGGAGCACAGGGCATTTTTAGGGCAGTGAAACCATTCTTCATGATACTGTAATGATGACACATGACATTATGCATTTGTCAAAGACCACAGGGCTGTACAATGCAAAGAGTGAACCCTAATGTAAACTAAATGAAATGCTGCCTAGTCCTGCTCCATCCCCATGATGGGTTGCAGATCAGACTGTTGTGATTCATAGGGTTTTCACTGGCTGTTTGGAAATAGATAACCAGGCCTTTCTTCCTAGTTTGTGTTAGTCTGGAAGCTCCACTGAAACCTGTTCAGCATCATAGCAACACCCAAGCCTCCACTGGCAGATGGGTGGTAGCTCCACATGAGGTGCCCTGGCTGGGAATCAAACCGGAGTCTCTGGCATGGAAGGTGAGATTTCTACCACTGAAACACCACTGACTCAGTTAATAATAATGTATCAACGTTGTCTCATCAATTTTAACCACCTACCGCCAGAATGCAAGATATAAATAAAAGTGTACCTGGGGGAGAAAGGGTATATTTGAACTCTGTACTTTCTGCATAAGGATCCCTGGTGGTGCAAATGGTTAAGTGCTTGGCTGCTAACCAAAGTTTGGAGGTTCCAAGGGTGGGAGAAAGACCTGGCAATCTGCTCCTAGAAAACTCTATGCGGACAGTTCCACTTTGTCACATGGGATCACTATAGGTTGAGATCTATCTGACAGCACCTAACAACATTCTGCATAATCTTTCTGTAAACCTAAAACTGCTCTAAAAATTCAAGTGTATTAAAAAAAAAAAAAAGATATGGTCTCCAAGCACAGCAGGGCCATACACTGTTTAGCACTGTTTACAGGCCCCCATTTCCAACTGTTCTTAAGTTCCCTACCTCATCCCTGGTCTATCTCTTGATTCACAGAGCAAACAGAGGCCATAAAGCTGGAAGTGCCTTTCTGTGCCATAGATCCCTCTCTCTCAAGAAGAATGTCTTCCCTTATCTTCAATCTCTCCACCCCACCAATGCTCTGAAAACCATCCCTACCCATGTCCTGGCTCCATTAATTTTACCTTCAGCCTCTCCAGTAGCTCCTCTCCCCTATGTATATACAACATGCTAGTTCCCTCGCTCTCACCTTTGACCATCTCCTGAGGTAAAACGCTGCTTTGTAATTACAACTCTTACTCAACCACATCATAATTGGGGGTCAGGGTGGTTAAATAAAGTGCTCCAGGAGCTCCGCTCTTGCCTCCTTCCCCAACTCTCATAAATCACTGTGAATTTATCTTTGCACTTAGGTGGTTCTGTCCATTGCTTATGCATTGGTCTCCCCACCACACTGCGACATCCTTGCCATTAATAACCAGAGCCCTTCCTTTTAGCCTCTGCGGCAGCTTGCACTCTGCCTGGGCACTCTGCAGGGCCCTATAAATACCTGTAGCATAAATGCTGCTTCATGTTAGTACTTTTAAACGTGGGATATCATCAACCCAGAACGCCAGACTTTTCTTCATCTGCCAGACAAACTCCTGCACACCCCTCAGATCCAGTTTTCACCGCTCTTTCTCTATGAAGGCTTTCCTGACTCCCCCACACATCTTTTAAATCGCCCATATTTTGCACATATATCCATTACAGCACTTATCACACCACACAAATCATTTGTTTTCAAATCAATTTTTCATCCTAGGCTGTGTCCTGCTTTAGAGCGATAATGTCCAGTCATCTTGTATTCCTAGTGCGAGGCAGTGTCTGGCACTTTGCAAGAGCTTAATAACTGCTAGTTGACCGAATGAATGGCGACACACGTGCCCGAGGAGGGGCGGTCTCTCACTACGGGATTGGTACAAGGAGGTTCCCTCTAAACGAAACACCAGTCTCCTTTCTATGAAGGAGGGGACGGAGGGGGCACTGGTGGAGCTTCGAGGGGGCGTGGAAGGCGGGGAGCTGCGATCTGATCTCCTAGCTTGCGGGGGGCGGCAGAGGCCGAACGCCCGGAGGAAGCAGGAGGAAGAACCGGGGGCGGGGACTCCCGGTCAACAGATTGCGAAGGGGGTGGGGGGAGGAGCCTGCGCCGAAGTCCAGCCGAGGCTGCGGACAGGGCGGCGGGGGAGAGAGGGGAGGGAAGGACTGCACTCACTCGTCCCCCTGCAGGAGGCTGCGCTCCGTGATGGGCCGCACGGCCGCCCTTGGGGGCTCGGCGCCCGCGCCCGACGGCCGGAAACACAGGCTCAGCTTCTCCTCCAAGCTGCGGGCCAGCGCTGGGAGGCCGACGACTGCCCCGCCCGCCCCTGCCCCGGTCTCGGGGCTCGCGTTACAGTTCTCGTCCTGGAGGCTCTGGGCCGGCTCCTGGAACTCATAGAAA